TCTCAAGTCCAAGGAAACCTCAGTTATAAGAAAACTGTGACCAAAATCTCAAACTCATCAATCTGGTTCTGATTCATAATGACCTCCATTGTGTTTCCAAAGTTGTAAATCTTTCTAGGAGAAGGTTTCCCTTGTTTCTTTCAAGGAGTAGCTAGCTGGTGGATAAGAATTGTCCACCTTTCAGTTAGCAGTCAATATCTTACATGCTATAAAACCCCACAAAATTTTATTTCAACTTTGTTATATAAGTATAATTTTTAAAATATTTACCAGAGATCTAGTCCTATAGAAAATCCTTAATTGTGTTAATTTCCATGACAATGGTGATGATGATGTTCTATTGCTTCAGATATTGTTATAAAATTCATGAGCTATATAATCTAACTCAAAATCTTTTGTTTTTACTTTGCAAGAAACATGAACCCTTGAATTTGTAACATACTCTTTTAAGAAAAAAAATGTAGACTTAGTAAACATTCTACTTTTATCTGTAAAAAAGAGGATTGTGATATACATGATGTATCTACCAGCTGCTGGCTTGTTCGTACTATGAGCTTCATCAAACTGGTCAAAAGCATGCCTAAAAAAATTTACATTTCCTACTGACATAAACTTTAGTCAAACGAAATGCAATTTCTGAGTCAATATTTTTGCCATTTCACAACTGTTTATATAATAAAGAGCTATTATGTCGTTGATAAAGAGAACAATCTGGAGGACTTTATTATACAATTAGCCATTAACCATATTAAAAGCACTGGTGGGAAGAAATCAGTCATTTTAGAGAGTTGGAGGCTTACATTATTTTTTAAGATGATATGTTTGCATCATTTCACCAAACTAATGGAGTTACAATTTACCCCTGGTACAGATTTACCACGCAACACATTATCATGTGCCCTTAGCTCTGCGGCACCTCTTTTAATGATTAGTTAACTTTAGGATAATGAAGGCCTTATCATATGCCTAATTATCCATGCAGTCCCTAATGGGAGCCTAACTCATTCAGATAAAGTCAGTTTACTGATCTGTTCTCCATTGGGGGGCTAGGGTTAGAGATCTTAAGGAGATATTATGAAAGATAACATATATTAAAAGAATGGTAAATATCCTGTAGATTTGGGATTTGGGCTTCTTGATAAATACTCAAGTTTTTGTCAAAATAGACATAATTCCAAATTAATTACTTCCATATTTTTCCATAAGCATTTGACTATTTTCAAGTGGAACTTTCACAGCTCAGTAACAGATTTTTTTAAATAATCTCCCAAATATTTAATACAGTCTTGGCACCAGCAGCCAGGAAATTAAAAGGCGCATTGCCATGGGAAAGTCTGCTGTTAGGGACCTCTCCAAAGTACTGAAGAGCAATGGTGTCTCTCTGGAGACTAAGGTGCGTCTGATACAGGCTATGGTCTTCGCAATCACTTGTTATGCATCAGAGAGTTGGACAATGACCAAGGAGGATAGAAGGAGAATTGATGCCTTTGAGCTGTGGTGCTGGAGAAGAGTATTGAGAATACCATGGACTGCTAGGAAAACAAACAGATTTGTCCTGGAAAGGGTTAAACCGGGTGGCTCCTTGGAGGCAAGGATTCTGAGGCTCCATCTAACATACTTTGGACATGTTGTGAGGAGAGACCGGTCCTTGGAGAGGAACATCATGCTTGGGAGGGTGGAGGGACAGCGCAGGAGAGGAAGGCCCTCTATGAGGTGGATTGATTCAGTGACTGGGATAATTGGTGGGAGTGTCAGAGACAGTGCGATTGGCACAGGACAGAGCGGAGTTTAGGGCTGTTGTACATAGGGTCGCTATGAGTCGCAAGTGACTCGACGGCACATAACAACAACAACAACAAGATATCTTTAATAATAATCTATAATATTTAATAATACGGAGTACTGTTGGCTGAGTGGTAAGAAGTTGTGCTGCTAACTTGCAGGCATGTGGTTCAAATCCATCAGTTGATCTGGAAGAGAAAGATGGGCAGTCTCCTCTCATGTGATTTGTTCCCTCTCAAAACCCACTGGAGGGTCAGCTATGTGTCGATTCTGACTTGATGGTACTTGTTGTGTACCATCAAACTGGAACCGACCTATAGGTGACCCTCCAGTGGGGTTTAGAGGCAGTAAATTGCAGGAAGGAGATTATCCATCCTTCTCCTGTGGAGCAGCTGGTGACCTCGAACAGTGTCTTCAGAACTGCCGTGCAATTTCTTGCTACTATGCCACCAGAACCCCCTATGATTGTACTTAATGACAACAACTATAGACCAAGAGAGAAAACCATCTGACTGAAGTCAGTGGAGGGCTGCATGGTTTAAAATCAGGGAAGGTATGCAAAAGATTTAACTTTTTATCACATGTACTCAATTTGTATGCTAAGCAGATGAGATGAAAAGTTACATGAAGAAAGAACAGCATCAAGATTGGATACAGATTTATTAACAACCTGCAATATGCAGATGAGTCAACTTTGCTTGCTGCAAGTGAAAAGAATTTGAAGGACTAATTAGCAAAGACCAAAGACTACAGCCTTCAGTGTCAATTACATATCAACTCAAATTAAAATACTTGTTATATTTTAGTTTGATTATTTTAATAAGACCCACAGTGACTCTCTGTTGGGTCTCTAAGACTATAAATCTTTATAGGAGGAGACTGCTCCCCTCAGAGCAGCTGTGGCTTCAAACTTTTGGTCATTAGTATAACTTGTAACACATTACGCCAGACAAAAATTCTCAAAACTAGATCAGTAAACAAGAACATGATAAGTGAATAGATAGATGTTGTTAAGGATTTCATTTCACTTGTGTCCACAATCAATGTCCACAAAGCGGAAGTCAATAAATTAGACAGTAAATTGCATTGGGTAAATCTTCAATACAAGACCTCTTTATAGTGTTAAAATGCAAAGCTGCCATTCTGAAGAATAAGGTGCACCTGACCCACATCATCATGTCATCAATTGCTTCATATACATGGGGGAGCTCTGACAGTGGAGGCAGTGCAACAGTGAGGAGCACTGTTACCCCAAGTCCACCAGTGGTTCTGCAGGAGAAGGATGAGCAGTCTCCTCCCATTATGACTGACAGCCTCGGAAACGTCATGGAGGGTGGTCATGGGTCAGAATCACTTCAAAAGCAATGAGTTTTTAGTCATATATATACATATATGTAAAAGATAAGCAATGAATAAGGAAGTCCAAAAAATAATTTATTCATTTGAGTTATGGTATTTTAGGTAAATTTTGAATATGTACTATCAACTTCTAGAAATATGAACAAATTTGTCTTGGAAGAAGATTATGTATGCCCATTTTGTTATCAAAAGGAACCAACCAGTCTTTACAGAAGAGCATCATACTTGGTAAAGAAGAGAGACACCAAAAAAAAGGAAGAAACTCAACAAGATGGATTGGCATACAGGCTCCAACAATAGGCTCAAATGCAGCAAGCATTTGAAGGATGGTGAAGGACCAGTGTTTGGTTTTGTTGTGCTTTGAGTTGGAACATTATGATATTTCCTTAAAAAAATTAACTATATATTATATGTATTATTTCTATTCTATTCTAGTCTATTATTCTATTCTATTATTCTCTTCTCTTCTCTTCTATTCCATTCCATTCTACTCAACTATGAGTTGGAACAATATGATATTTCCTTAAAAAATAATAACACATATCTAACATTAAAGTATTTGGAAATTTATTCCTCTTAGGCTAATTTGAAGTACAGTAACTCCATAGAAAACTTAAAACTAAAAAAAACCCAAACAAACAAAACACAAAAACACCCTACGAGTTTTGTGTTTGAGCTAATTGGAAGTTGTATAGTAGATCCATTTAAAGAACTAGTATTTGCCACCAAATCTAACTTAGCTGTATCTAAAGTCCTCACTGAAAGTTCTCCTGTGCAGTTATTAGATGCCACCAAGTCAGACCAAACTCACAGATGAAACGTTTGTATAACAAAAAGAAACTTGGCCGGGTCCTTCACAATCCTAATCACTTTGGCCATGCCTAAACCTACTAATGCTGTCACTCTGTCGATACTTAAGGGTCTTCTTGTTCACTGACACTTCATTTATCCAAGCAAAATGTTCTTCTACAGGAACTGGTTTCTTTTGAAAACTTATCCAAAGTGTGTGAAACAAACTTCACCATCTTTGCTTCTGTGGAACATACTGGATGTATTTATTCCAAGACAGATGTTTGTTCTTTTAATAGTCTGCGGTATATTCCATATTGTTTGCTACCACCACAACTGAAAGGCATAAACTCTTCTTCAATCTTCTTATTCACTGTCAAACTTTCACATCCATATGAAACAAATGAAAATAGCATGGCTTGAGTCTGACATACTTGCTCTTTAGCACTTTAAAGAGGCTTCTGTAGTTGATTTTTCCCATTGCTATACATCATTTGATTTCTTGGTGACTGCTTCTATGGGAGTTTCAATAAACAGATACAGCTCTGGATGTGCTTGCTCAATTCTGCCAAGAAATTTAGAAGACAGCTACCTGGCCAAGTAACTAAATGAAGCCATATTTGTGCTTATCCCAGCGGGGGAAAGGTGAGCCAACAGAATGATGAAATTACCAAATCAAGTCACTAATATCACCTGCAAGCAAAATCTTACTAAACATTATCCAAAATATGTTCATATTGAGGGGGGTAAAAACCCCATCACACGCTAACTTCAAGTTAAGTCCAACTCATAGAGACCTTATAATACGGAGTAGAACTGCCCCATAGTTTCCAAAGCTAGAAATCTTTATGAACATGAATTGTCACATCATCTCCCAAAGAGTGGCTGGTAGATTCAAACCACCAACTTTAAATCAGCGGCATAGTGCTCTTCACCACTGTGCTATGATGGCTTCCTGCTAATAAATAACATTTATGTCTACATTTTCCAGCAAGAATTACTAACAGTGAATATTCAGCTTGTAAGACATGTAAGAGCAAATATAAAACAGAGATAAAAATAAGTCTTACCTCATTCTTCAGCTTGCTTCCAGAAAACCTTTAAAACCAGTATAGTTTTCGTTAGTTCAAGAAAATAATAGTTACAGCATTCAAAGAAGTGCACAGGACCTATAAAAGCAGTAACTGCATCTTGTGATTAGTGAAATAAATCTTAAGCAATGTATACTTTTTCAAAGGGATCCAAATCATCTTGATGTACTAGAAACCAAAGTTTTAGAAGATTTTAAAATAGGAGATATTTAAAGGTAAATTATGTTTGAGACAAGCAAAGAACACTTTTGATTAAACATTTGTCTAATATACTGCAAAAAAGAAATTCTGCTAAATAATAGTACTTTCTATAACACATAAAAATAGTGTGATAATAGGGTCATGACAGAGTTGTTGACACAGTCTTCTAGTTTTTTTTCTTTCTGTTTATATTGCTCTATGCTCATTTCTTAGCCTTATTTTGAACACAGCAATTTTTTTAATAAAATGGTAATGTCAATTGACAGAAATTAAACTACTTTTGTTCTTCTTTAGAATTGAGAGACATTCACATATATCGTTTTTGTTGTTGTGTGCTATAGAGTCAGAACTAACTCAAAGCTGACCCTCCAGAGACACCATGCAGGAGGAGACTGCCAATCTTCATCCCACAGAGCAGTGTGTGGATTCTGCTTACCTTGGGGTTGGCAGGACAACTCTTGGTCACTAGCCACTAGACCTCCCTTCATACATGTTAGTACATGCATTAGCACATATTAAATACAAGACAGCTTTTACTCTGCCCTTTCTGATAAGATTATAGATGATAATTATGTGTTTAAGGAGCTGAAGTCCCACTTAGGCATAACAGACCTGGACTCTGGGGTTGTAGCTGTAGAAATTAATTCCTACATGAAGCCCCTATCAAATATCTGACACTCATCTTCTAGATAACTGTACTATCAACACAAAAACACAAGGAAAGCTTGTTCAATGTTTACTTAACACATTTTGGCACTACATGAAAATTAGCTTTCACTGATGAAAATTAGTCTATGATATAGTATAAGTACATAATTTTCTCCAGGTTCTTCTATTTCTACACTCAGTAAAACACGATCACATGGTTTACCTTGACCCACAGAGTCTCTCAACTATCAAAGTGTTAATTTCAATTTGCTGGACAATCTCTCACAGCTGGCAATGTCAACTGCTATGATTAATAGAAAATATCCCCTTGAATATGGCTCCCAGGACATGGGCCATACCCGTCATATTTTAGTACACCTCTGTTGGGCTCCAGCGTTAGTCTGAGCCTCGCCCATCAATCTAGCATCTCGGGCATCTAGCCTATGTATATCTTTTACAGTGAGTAGTGGGTGTTACTGTGACTATTCTACTTGTAATATCTGAATTCATCTTTGTACAGTGCAAATGGGAAGTTTTCTTTTCCCACAACATAATTTTAAAATTTTAAAGATTTTAAAAAGTAATTGTTGCTTTCTCAGAGCTCATATCAGCTCTTGTTAAGACATACCTTAAGGAAGTCTCTTTAGATATAGATGTATTCAAATGTCCAGTATTTAAAAGATCTATCTTTTATTTCATTGCGTGACATTTTATCTGCTTCTTCCCCAATCAATAACCTCTTCCTCAAATGCAATAGCACCATGGAGCAAAATGTTCTTTATACTCCTTTGTGTTTTCAGTTCATAGAAACCAAGACAGAACAGGAGCTTTGTTTTATACTAAGGTACACTTATATTTAAAGTATATGTGAATAGGGATGATTATAATAAATTTTATCTCTCTCACTCTGGTCTTGTACACAGATTTTTCTCTAGGGAGAAAGAGACATTTTTTTAATTTTTTACTTTTAACTTATTGCATCTAGCCTAAAATGAATTTAAATTTATAAGTAAGCACTGATTTCAAAGCATTTCTCCTCCCTGATCTCTCCTTTTTCATCTCTCTGGGTCAGCTAGTTCACCACTAATTTCTCATAAATTAATTCAAATTTGACCACTAATCCTGTGCACACAATTGTAAATATTCATACAGAGTTGAAGTTAAAAATCTGACGAGCAAAAAACAAACATTTCAATAAGGAAAATTGATAACTAAGTTTATTCAACAGATATCTTGCATATTTAAAGAAATATGAAAACTTTTCTCGAAGATAGCAAAACTCTTACCTTGTGAGACCCTTTCCAGAATACACGGAGTGGTAGTACGCACTGCTCTCTTTGATGCCAATTCCATAATAATGATACCTAGAGCAAGGACAGGAACCAGCTCTGTGTTAAAGAATGAGATACTTGAAGAGGGAGGGGGGAAATCTAACATATATTTGAAATAAGTCACAAGCAATAACAGTAATTTCTTCATTACCTTCCTTTCCTAACATTTTCAAGTAGCATCTTAATATGCTTATTCCCTTCTCTGGCCATCACTGACCATACTTATGGTAATATTTCTGCCTCTAGGATCATACCTTTTCAACCTGTATGCAGAACAGATCATCCAGGAGGCTAGGCTCTATGATACAATCCTGCTTGCTGAAACTGAGGACGACCTGAAGCACTTGCTGCAGATGGTCAAGGACTGCAGCCTTCAGTATGGACTGAGGCTCAATGTCAAGAAGACAAAGATTCTCACCACTGGACCAATTGGCAGCACCAAGGTGGATGGTGAAGAGATTGAGATTGTTCACAGCTTTAGTCTACTTGGCTCTACAATCAACACTCTTGGCACCAGCAGCCAGGAAATTAAGACATATGGTGATGGGAAGTCTGCTGTTAAAGACTTCTCCAAAGTACTGAAGAGCACATATCATGTATGAGAACCATGCTCATGCATGGGATTACACATCAAGCATGTGACCTTTTTAAATTTTTTTATTATTATTTATTATGTGTGTACCATCAAATCAGATCTGACTGGTACAGGAGGGGATTGCCCCTCCTTTTCAGTAGAGCATCTTGTGAAGCATGTGACCTTTTAAAAGATCTTTTTTCTTATAATGATGGAGAAACCAAATATATTGTAGTTTTCACTTTGAACTTTTGTAGAACAACAGGGGGAAACATCTATTTATATGATGAATCAATAGAAATATAGCACATAGAAAGCATTAGAAATTATTTGCTATAAATATGTCAATAAATGATGGATCACAAGACAAGTGTTATAACTCATCCATTCTCCAAGTTGTGGCTTATTCTAAACTGCAGGTTCCTGGCACAATGCACACCCAAAAAAAACATTGCAAATCTGTACAAAAGCTAGTAAAAACAGAATGAATTTCAACTGTAATTCCATGTTCTTTTATACTTTGTTTATTCTAAAGATTTTCTATTTCAAATAATATTTTACCCATTAACTGGGTCAATATATGTTCTATATTGCTTTAAAAAGTAATAATAATTTCTTTTTTTTATTTCTTATTTCCAATTTTTCTCTCAATATGCAAATAATATTTCACCATGATGAAATGGCCAGATTTAGGACAAGTTAAATTGTCTGTTAAAGCAATGTAAGAGGTTAAAAAGAGTATAATGTTTTAAAAGAGTACAAGTTAAAAAGAGAGCAATAAATTCAGCAAATATAAACTAGGGCACTTACTATGTCTTAAGCACTCTGTTATTCATAAATATAATGATGAAGAAAATAATAATGGATAATCAAGTAAAAAATGTGTTCTTTTGAATTTTATTCTAGTTTGTGAACCTCTAAGCCAAATAACCTACTAATAATGTTAATGGGTAGGGATCTCTCGTTACTTAGTGGTAAGGTGTTGTGATGCCAACCCAAAGGCAATTGGTTCAAATCCACCAGCTGCTCCACAGGAGAAAGATGGGCAATTTCTTCCCAAGTGATTTATTACCTGTTGGCAAGTCACCTATGAACTGATTCCAACTTGACTGTACATAACAACAGCATTAATGGGTCTCCAGCACTGTTCTGAAAAATGTCTTAGCATTTTAAAATGCAATATCGTTTAGGACTCAATAAATACTGTTGTTGTTGTTGTGATGTATCCTCAGGTCGGAACTGACTCCTAATTGACCGTCCAAGGGGTTTTCGAAGCAGTAAATCACATGGGAGGAGACTGCCTGTCTTTCTCTTGCAGAGTAGCTGCTGAAGTACATGCCTTGGAGCTGGCAGTGCTATTCTTTACCACAAAGCCACCAGATATTCCTCAATAAATACTAGCTGATAATAACTGAGGTAAGATTCAAATCAGATATGTCAAGCTTTACACGGCACTCTTTATTTCAAAAGACAATGTCATCTGCGCATTCAAGTGCAAAAGTTCCATTTTTGTGCATGTGTAATTTTACATCTCAGTTTTTTACAATGAATATAGTTAAATGTCTGTACTCAAGCATCTATCCTTTTATTTTAATATGAATCATAGTCAGCACTGACAACATGAATCATAAAGATGCACCATTGATCTGAATGTTTCATACTTAACATTCCACATAAAATCTCTCCCTAGACTATCCACTATCTATAATAGGAAACCTATAAATGTGAATAAATGAGTGGATATCATGAAAAAAAGTTTGAAAACATCCATGTGTCCTGAGGACAACTATATAAATTAGAAATTGTCAGTTAAAGGCTTAAACAATTTTAAACTTCATAGAGACTAAATTATCTCTTGCCTGATATGATGCAAATCTATTTTAGATTTTACCTCCAGATTTGAAAAACCCTAAAACACTAATCTTGGAAAATATTCAACAATAAAGGATTGGAAACCCAACTTCTTAATAAACTTTCATTAAAATCTCAATTTTTAAAAAAGCAAACACCTAAAACACTAATCTCACTGTTGTGGTTATTATTGTTGTGTACCCTTGAGTCAGAACCAATCCATAGCTGATCCTCCAGCAGGTTTTCAGAGGCAGTTAATCACAAAGGAGATTTCCCATCTTTCTCCTGCAAGGCAGCTGGTGGATTAAAACTGTGTTCCTTCGGGATTGCAGTGCAGCTTCTTATCACTATTGGTAAGTGTGTTTGTGACTCATAGCAACTCTACATACAACAGCCCTGAACCGTGCTCTATCCTGAGCCAACCTTACTGTCCTTAACACCCTCATTACCTACCCTCTTTACCTGGGTCTTACCACTAGGTCACCAGAAATCCCACTCTAAGTACTATATTAATTTTTATTTTGCTATTAGGATCACTCATTCTCTAGAAATAACTTATACTGTTTTATCTTGTTGAATTCTCCACAGAAATACCCTTCTTCTATCTTGTGATAATTTCTTACATACCAGGGAAAGCTAGATACTCTGTTTTCGCATTCTCTCTTGGTAATTTATCTCTGTAACTTTACCCTTTATATCATTTGAATAAGTGGTTCCAGTTTCCTCTCCTCTACTAACCTATTAAGATTTGAAGGAAGAGGATTTCACCTCTTTCTGTAATGTTTTTCACCTTAAAATTGTTGTCAAGAAAATCCCTCAAGCATTTATTGGAGGAGTTAATGCTAGAAATTCCAAAACTGATAAAATAGAAGTCCTCTTAAAGCTGATTGTTTTCAATAACCATGACATTGTTGTTGTTATTGTTGTTCTGTGCTACCAAGTCAACTACAACTTATAGAGACCTTTGAACAAAGTATCTAAACCTTGCCCTATCCTCTAGATCTCTGAGGCTCTTGATTCCATTGTTACAGTAACTGTGTCAACGCATCTCGTTAAGTGGGGCTTCGTCTCTCTCCGAATCTTCCCCTTTCCCAACATGATGTGTTTTTTCAAGGACTGACTCAAACACTATGCATTTTCAAGTTGCAAATGAAAAATCAGCATGGAGCAAAATTTTATATACACAGAACCACTGTTTATAAAGTGCACGATGTCCGTGCAGTTAAGTGGAGAGGTGGTTGCTAGGAATAGAAACTCGACTCCTTGTAGTGACTATGGTGTTAAGTTAGCACGTTTCAAAGCTAGTTTCTTCCGGAACTGATGAAATCATCTTTTTCTTTTAATCTTTCTGTTAGTTTAACTGGATACACACTATTATCTGAGTGGTGAGTTAGTGCCTGAAAACAGAGAGGAGATAATAAATGAACAGCTCTCTGTCTTCTTTAACAGCTGAAAATAAGCCTCATAAGGCCTGGCAGAGTGATTTCATGCAATATATATGTTTATTTTTCATTTCATTGCTAATATTTTAGACCATTTTGTTGCTAATACATTTTCTCATAAAAATTTGTTATGAAATATTTTCCAAAAATATTCAAAAATTGTCATCGGAACAAACACTGGTGCATAGTAAATAAAAAGTGATGTTAACCTTACCATAGGATGTGAGTGGTTTAATTTACATACTGTTACTAAGTACCTATCTGTAAATTAATCTGACTAAAAATACCCAGATGCATCAGAATTTTTTACTACTACTTAATTATTCACTCATTTTCAGTAAGTGAAATGCATGATAAATGCTAAAAAATCCTGTATTCAGCTAATTTCTCTAAGAAGGTACTTGTTTTATAAATGTAGCCTAATAAAATTGTGTTCATTCATTAATATCGACTGTTCTTAGCCTTTGTCAAGTGACAGCTATCACTTACAATTTTGGAATAAAGTACAATAATTAATGTATGTCAACATCTTAAAATGAACATGTTATAAAAATATAAGATTTTTAATAGGACAAATGAAATTATTGCTGCTCTTTTTTACAACTAAAATATTTACACTGTGTCTAATACTTTTCTTCATTTGCTGATCAATTTATAGCTACACTTACATTTCATCTCTTCCATTTTAGTCATGAAACAGAATTGCTGAAACATATGTTCCCCTGAGCTAGTAGCCCTGATGTTCGTTTACACTACGCAAATGATACCTGATAAGGAAATGATGGGATTAAGCTGTTCAGGGACTTGCAATAACTTGCTATGATAAGAGCAGCTGCCATATCAGTTTTATTAACTTACTAAATCACTACTAATAAAATAAGATAATAGCTTTTGTCCATCTCGTCTAAAAACCAAGATTTAACTGATCAAAGTCTACAAGAAATTAAACTGTAACTTCAAATCAGTCTACCATGCACATAAAACCTCTTAGGTGGTCTCCACCTGGTCCTCCTTCACTCTGCTGAGTTATTCGAGCATGGGTGGGACACAGGCTCGTTCCCCTCATTGCTGTATCCTTGTGTCTCATTAGCACCTTCACACTCAATAAAATTCTAGTTCAATAAATGAGTATTAATATTAAACATTTCATGGTAAGTATCTTGCAA